AACTTGCAGCAGTATTACAATTTTGTGTTATTTGTTTTACAAGTTTGTATAGGAAGTTACGTGTTTTATACATCCCACTTACTGATAGTAAAAAATAAATTTCACAAAAATAAATAAATAAATAAATTTCACTTAACTTTGCTAGAGGAAAGGCTGAATTTACCTCTCTGTTCCCTCCATAGAAAATGAAATTATGAAATCGTTGTCATATGAAAAGGCAACCAAAGAACATGCAACAAGAACAGAAGGATGCAGTATTACAGACATCTGCCAGGCAAATTAATGTTATTTTTCTAGGTTTTGATACGTTTGAATATTTACCAGCTCTTTGAAATTTTAGATTTGTGACTTGTGACTTATTTTCACATCTTAATTAAATATTCCATACTTAATTTTGTATTTTTTCTTAAACAGAGTCCACCAAATGTATGCACTTCATGCCCCACAAAAACTAGACCCATCCTGGCTGGAGGCCAGCTGGAGAGGGACTTTGAGGAGACAAGAAACCTGTCTAATGGAGTTTTTAGGTAGAAATACTGTTCTCTCTCCTCTTCCCCATCTCCTATGTGAAATCTTTAGTAAAACAGGTATTTTTCACTTTAAAATGTAACAGAGAAGAGGTTGGGAGAGACTTGGATTAACAGCAGCAATGTGAGAAAAACTGGAGGTGGAGGGAGGGAGGGGTATGTGTGGCCAAATTCCATAATCACCCGTTATGTGGCAGATGCCAGGAGCTGTGGTGGTTGCCTGCTCTCTGCACTCCTCAGACTGCACCTGGATGATTCTGCTCCAGACCGAGAGGCAGGCTGTCAAAGGATGTGGACAAATCAGGATGAACCCACAGAAGCTCACCCAGAATGGTACAGAGCTCAGAGCTGGACCTTGGAGAAATCTCTAAAGAAACCTGTGTTGGTACGGCTTTTGTTTGTTTTTCAGCAGAGGTACTGGGATTGAACCCAGGACCTCCTGCACGTGTGCTCTACCACTGAGCTGTACCCTTCCTCAACTAGTGATGTCATGTTTAAGGGGCAGGTGGCGGGGGAGATGGGAGGCAGGCAGTGCTGTTGGAAGAGACTGTACTTTTACATGGCTAGGAATGGCAGTGCTAGGGCCAGCAGAAGAGGCAAGAGGCAGACTGGTTTTTCTATAAACATAAAGGGAGTTGATACTAAATATCCAACGTCAAACAATTTCTAGTTCACATTGGAATGATGTTCATCAAATATTAGCAATAATTATTTCAAAGGCAGATTTGGGGGTGATTTTAATTTCTTCTCTGCACCTCTGTATGCGTGCATGTCATTTCTAGAAAACAAAAAGTCATTAGTCTTTTTTTTTTTCTTTAAATTTCTATTAGATGGCTTGGCCAGCTTTAAAATTTTGTGATTCTTGGGAGATGTGAAAAAAAATTGCATGGCTTGTTTTTAGAAGACCCAGAGGAAAACAAAGAAAGAGAGGAGGGAGGGAAGGAGGAAGGAAGGAAGGAAGGGAAGAAAGAAAGAGAGAAAGAAAGAAAGAAAGAAAAGAATGAAAGAGAGGGAAAGACAGGAAGGGGGAAGGAGAGAGGAAGGGAAGGAAGAACAGGAAGAAGAAAGTAGAGAAAAATAAAAACTGCATCTATATAGGGAAAAAACCCTTAAAGTTCAAATTCAGTCTAGGCCATGACCACATCAACAGAATAAATGACTTACGGAATTTTGGTTTTAACTGAAGATGGTATTTAAGCTCAGCAAAACAAAGGACCCTCCACCAACAAGGTGCACTTTCCTTAGATGGCAGTTGAAGGGGTACACCCCTTAGTCCATCAACAAATATGGTTCCCTCAAAAGGAATTCTGATGACTGAAATATCTCCATCTTCTGTCAGGAAGAATATTCTAAGTACAGCTGTTCAAAAATAGAATGGTCTTAGTTCCAAGTCCCTGAAAGTTTTCCAATAGAACATGGAAGAGAACACAGATATTTTAAAAAGGATTTCAGCCCTGGATAGGAAGTTGGAGTACATAACTTCTACTTTTTCTTCTAAGATTTTTAGATCTTATTTCTCACTGAGAGGTCTGATCATGGCTGCGTCTCACTGTCAGCTGTCCTCTGGACATCGGGAATGCCCTACACGCAGCATCATGGTTCATCTAACGCAGACTCTTAATAACATTAGCAAACACTTACCTAGTTCTTATTACCTGCCAGTCAGTGTTCTAAGGATGCAACAAGGAAAATCAACTCATGTAACCCTCCAAGCAGCCCTATGGGGTAGATCTTATTATGATCGTTCCCATGTTAAGAGCAGAAAACTGAGGCTTAGAGAAGTTGAGGAATTTGCTCAAGATTCCACGGATTGTGGTTTGCAGAGCTGGGATTTGAATCCAGAGTTAGCCTCTTTAACTAGCACCATGTTGCCTCTCATTTGATAGAGGCTTGAAACTGCTCCACTTCTGAATACTGAGGTCTGTGTAGTATTTTGGCCTGATTCTGGCCTGCTGGGCATTTGGTGGGCTGGGACAAGATAAGCTGACCAGATCACAGGACATTATCAACAACCAAGCGATGCCATATGCAGTCTGCATCTGAAAGCCAAAGACAAGAGAGTAACTGTGGGATAGTTGCAGGAAGCCCAGAAGGGTTGCCACAGATGTAGGTTCTTTAAAGGGCAACCAGCCCAGTCACTTACTCACTGGGTACAATGTGTGTGACCCGGAACGGGTAGGTGGATTTTGCTTCCTATCTGGGCCGCCTCACTAAACCTTAGGTTAGCACTACAGTCAAGCAGGTTCCCGCCCTAACCTCTTCCTATGGCCCCATCTCCTCACCAGCATCCTCGCCACTGCTTTGTGCCCCACCAAATTCATCTGCATCTCAGTGGTAAACACCTCGCCTGCAATCTTACTTGTGTTCCAGTGAGAGTCAATCTCCCTGGACAGCATTAGGTATTTTCTTGCGGTTAATTTATTTTTATATTTCTACAGCTCCTGCAATTTAATTAGAAAATGACTTTCAGGCTGCAAACTGGCCTCCACTGCTAATTAGGTTCCATGGATCTGAAATATAAATCATTAAAAAAAATAATGATCGCTAAATGCACTGCTGTAATAAATAGATTACCCAAGCTGTTTGACGTAGATATAAGAGCGGGTCGGGGAAGGACATTTGTCTTTCTCTGTCAGCTCTATTTTTTCCCGAGTCCCAGCCTTGTTGTGCAGGGCTGGTTAGGCTGGGGTTCCGTCTGCACTGGGTTCTCCTAGCCACAGCTGGACCTCAGCTGGGCCCTCCTACCTCCAGCTGCACTCCCCGCCCTCCTTTTCCAAGGGTGTCACGTGGGCTGATGAGATAACGTGTGTGAAAGCCTTTGTCAACTACGAGGCACAACTGAATGCCAATGATTACTGTTGTTATTATTCTTAACCATACTCCAGGGAAAGCCTGTCGCCCCCCACCCCTCCCAGACTTGGTCCGCAGGACAGCCCGGGGAAACTCTGCGAGGCTAGACAGCCCCTCCCACGTGGGCGGAGGTCCTGGCGCAAACCGGTCCCCCGGGCGAGCCGGAGAGGCGCTCCCGCTGCCCTGAGACCGCCCCCCCTACCTCCCCGCAGTAATGGCTTTCCCAGTTCTTCCTGGCTTCGGGGCCCTTCCTCCGGAAGGAAATCTCCGCAGTTCCAGTGAAAGTTCTCGAGCTGCTGAAGTCATCGACTCCTTGGGCCTCTCCGCACGCCCACTCCCCCCCAGCCCCCTCCCCTCCAAGCGCCCGCTGTGGAGCCAGGCTGCCCCGGAAGGATCTGACCGGCAATTTCCTAGAATTGTCTTACTGGGGCTCCTCAGTCAATCAGCTCCCCGCCCCACCTTCCCCACCTCATCTCTGACAGTCTCCCCTCCCCAAAGCCCCAGTCTGTCTGGATATCCCAGCCCCCACCCTGACCCAACTTCTTAGACCCCGCCGTTCTCTTTAGCATCTCCAGTCTCTTCTGGGCCTGTCACTACTCCTGGGAAGAAGAATGGGGGCTTGGGAGTCAACGTGGTCACCAGGGCCCACCGGGAAGTGGGGTATGCTGTGGTTACCCGGGCAACCATCCTTCTGTCAGGCCTTCCCAGAGCTATTCCTCCCCAGATGAGGAGGGTGAGGACTTGACCATGTTGGCTCCCACTCCCAATAAATCAAATCTGACTGAAGCCAGAAAGGGTGGACAGGGAGCACAGGACCTCAGGAAGAGCCACTAGACAAGACGGAGAACAATCATCCTTTCTTCACCCAAGACCACCCCTGGTGTCTCGGGAGCACTGTCCTGAAGGCAGACCTCCAGTCCCACTGGGTGTGGACTCCAGGAAGAGGCTTGGGGAGGTCGGAGGAGGGGCCTGTCGGCACTTGATGGATGGTACTGAAGAAATGTCTGGCACTTTCTTTCCCCATGGGGGAGGTGAAGCTGCAGCCACCTCTCCCCCGCATTCGCATTCCTGCCTGCCTGCTCAGGAAGGGGGTGGGGTGGGTGGCTGGAGCAGGGAAAGGAGGGCCCTTAGTCCAACTGAGAGTTATTCTGTAAGCCATCTCTCGTGTTTGTCTACACCATGGGAGTGCACGGGCAGGTGGACAATTCCCAAATTTCAATTGTGGTAAAAAGGGATCCATGTGTCCCCACCCCAGCCCTCCTTCTTGGCTCCCAGGCCTCCTGGGGTAGATGCCAGGACTCTCCATTCAGTCCACACTCATTATATTCCTACTGCATGCTGGGCATTGGGTAACACAGCAGTTCTCAAATTGCAGCCCACGGATTTGGTGAGTCTCCAAGATCCTTTCAGGGGATGGATGAGGTCAAACGGACTTTTATAATCCTGCTGATGGATTATTTGCCTTATTGACTGTGTTGGTATTTACACTGATGGTGCAAAAACAATGGGGGTAAACCTGCTGGTGTCTTAGCATAAATCAAGGCAGTAGCACCCAACTAGACCTGGTAGTCTTCCAAAAAAATCAGTTTCTCTTAAGAAAGTCCTTTATAAAGCAGCAAAAGATTACCATGTGAGGGGTTTATTATAGTTACTTTAAGTGAGTAATAAAGATTTGTTTTAATTTCTAATACAGAATATGTTGATAGCTGTCACCCACAGAAACAAAAGCTCTTGGGGGCCCTCAGTAATTCTTAAGGGGGTGGCTGTGGTCCTGAGACCAACAACAGCGTTGGCCTGGCAGGGATAATCCTTACGCTGTTTCACTCCTCAGAGTGGAAGGGGAACCGCGCCTTTTTTCAGATACTGCATTCCCACCTTGAGAAACATGTCTTGTTTGAAGTAGAGGGTGGGGAATATAGCTGTTTTCTGGCAACCCTCTCTCCCTCAAGAAAAGACACTCTCACTGGAATAAAGATTTTAATGGTCTCCATTCACAGGAGAATCAAGGCCTACAGGCCCACAGCCCCCGTGCCTGCCCCTTGTCCCCTGTGCACTGTTGGGCAGTAGGGCACAGGGGGTGTTTGCGGCCCCTGTGGGCTCGGCCCAGGTGTGGACTCCTCTCGCCCCCTAGATTCACCTAACGTCCTTTCCTGTTCCCCCTTGGGGGCTCTTCCCCCTCCTCATAAAAGTCACAGCGCAGCAAGGTTGCAGGAGGAGGGAACAGGGAAGGGCAGGGGGACCCAGGAATCCACACCCCAGCCTGGCTGGGCCTGAGTCAGGGTGGAGAGCGGGTGCGTGTGCCTATGTGTGTTGCTGGGCGTGACTGGGAGTTCTGGTCCAGTCCTGTGAGCTCCAGGATCTCCCCCAAACCAGTCCTCTTCCAGAGGTAATATCTGGTGTCTCCACCGAGGTCAGCACACCTGAACTGTGGAAACTACTTCTTTGGCAATGGTGGGGCTGCTGTGGGTGAGGCTGAGGCCTGGCACCTAACTGTCACCTCTGGCTCTGGGAAGTGAGGTGTGAAAGGCCAGGAGGGAGGCAGGTCAGCCCCGCGTGCTACTCCCCCGCTCCCCCAGGAGCCAGTAGGTCCGAACTTTGCCTTTGCCCTGGAGGGAAAAAGAGGAGGTTGGGGTGGGGAGTGACATGCCCCCTTTCCCAAATGATGAGAGTGGGGTTGGCTGCTTGAGAAGGGGTCTGAGGGAGGGAAGCCCCTCTGGGACCCCCAGGTGTGGTGAGGGCATGGGCTTCCTTCCATACCTTCATTTCTACATCCCCTCGAAGCTCCAGCTCGAAACCACCAAACTCTTCCAGGACAGCCTTGGTCTCAGAAGACAAGTGGATCTTCAGGGCTGGGTAGGAGAAGGGAGGAGAAGGGAGATGAGAGATGCAAGAGTTGAGAGTAGGCGATCAGGGACCATGGGGGTAGAAAGATGCTCTCCCTCCTCCCTTTGGCCCAGAAAGCCTCCTAATTCAGAGTCCCACCCCCTCCATGTGGTGTCCCACCACATCGGCCTCTCCCTAAGAACCCTCGAGTCATGCTGTCCCCATTATAGCCACTAGTCACATGCTATTCCCTAAATACAGTTTGAAATGCAGTGCCTCAGATTTATGACTCCATTTCACGTGACCCGTAGCCCCCTGTAACAGAGGCTGCTATGCTGGACCGCACAGATTGTAGGACATTGCCATTACTGCAGAAAGTTCTACTGGACCGCACTTCAGAGTGTTACCAGGCTCTAGACAGACAGCAGAGCAGAGCGGTCAGGAGCTCAGACGTCGGAGCCTGCTCTGCCTGGTACGGATCCCAGCTTGGACACTTGCTTGGGGAAGTAATAGCAACGCTCTGTGCCTCACTCTCCTAGTCTACAAAATGCTGATAGCGACAAGACCCATCTCAAAGCCTCGTGAGGATTGCATGTAACGTTACTCATCGACCATGTAAATAGAATCCAGCATGTAGGTGGCACTGTATGTAAGCAGTCGCTATCCCTGTTATTTAGCTCAACACCCTCATTTTCGGGCTGAGGGGACCCAGGCCTGGGGGAGGAGAGCTGCCCAAGCTGCTGAGGTTGGCCCCAGGCCTCCTGACTCCTGACTGACTCCTCCCCACACCCCTTCTCCGACCTCCCTCTGACCTCGCCCCTACCACTCCTGGGGTCTGCATCATGGAGGCCTTGCTCTGCTGTTAAGCCGTTTCTGAGAATGTGCTCCTTCAGGACTAGACCCCAGTGAGAAGCTTTCTCCTTCTCCAGCAGCCCCCAGCTCAGCTCCCCAGGGACTATCTGCTGAACCACACCCGCTCTGGACTCCCAGGTAGCCCTGCTCCCGCCAGGAGGCTTGCCCGGGTCTGCACGGGCTCCCCAGCAAACGGTGCTCTGGGCGGTCTCAGTATTCCAGGGCCTGGGACTCAGGAGCTGCTCAGTGAATGCTTACCGAATTGAATTGTGTTGAATACAGCAGGAGGTAGATCAATAGGAAGCAAGCCCAAAGAAGAGGGTGGGAACAAGCATTTATTAGGCACCCACTGTGTTCCAAGGGTTGGCCTACGGTTTTTACAACCCTGAGACAGGCCTCATTTTACAGATAAACGGCTGAGGCTCAGAAAAGCTGGATGACACGTATGTGCTGGTCATGATACATGGCTTTCTTAAATAACTCCTCTGAGGTAGGTATTTAATTCTCATTTTACAGACAAGGAAAACCAAGGGTCAGGGAGGTGTAGCAATTTGACACACAGCTGTGTCAGTTGTAGAGCTGAGATGCACACCCAAGTGGGCTGCTCTGAAGCCCTCGTTACCACACCCAAGAGGGCCCTAAAGGTAAGATTCCTGCTGAGAACTGCCGGACATTGGCCTGGGAAGACTTTTCAGTCATTTGGCAAGAAGGCACAGCTGGGACCTGAGTCTCTGATTAGATTTGAGGTGATCTGGCCGGGTTGAACCCTTATGAGAGGGGGCCTGGGAGGAGAGAGAACAGGGATTGGATAGGCTCCAGCTGCCAGGAGCTACAGCGACCCTGCCCTCCCCAGCCCGCCAAGAGGACCCAGCATACCTTCCCCATTAGACTCCATTCTTGAGGCCGTGTTGACTGTGTCCCCAAAGAGACAGTAACGGGGCATCTTCAGCCCCACTACACCAGCACAAACGGGTCCTGGAGGGAGCGGAAGCCCATCAGCGAGTGGGTGGAAGGGGTGTTAAGGGAGATAGGCGGGAGGAATGGAGGGTCGCTATGGGACAGGGCTAGGGCGCTCCAGGAGAGACAGCAGGTGGGATCTGCGGCCCGAGGGAACGCAGGTGCGCGCGCGTATGCGCACTGGTGGTGAGGGAGGTGTGAGGGGTGCTGGAGAGGGGCTGGGCCTGGTCTCCAGCCCTCCCTGCGCCGTGGGCGGCCTCACCTGTGTGGATGCCGATGCGCAAGCGCAGCTGCTCCTGAGGCCTGTGGCGGATGCGGAAGGAGCGCACGGCGTCCAGCAGCGCCAGGGCCATGCGGGCCACCTCGGGGGCGTGCAGCCTCCCATTCCGCACCGGGAGCCCCGACACCACCATGTAGGCGTCGCCGATTGTCTCCACCTGTGAGGGTCAGCCGCGAGAGGGTGCAGGGCCTGAGGCCTGGAACTTTCTCTTCCCCGTGCTGCCTCTACACTGTGTGTCCTGTCCTCCTGTCCCCTCATCTGCTAGCCACTGTGTTTGCTCATCCCTCACAGCCCGCGCAGCTTTTCTGCCCGACCTGGGTCTCCCTGTGACACTGTCCTTGCCCATGTCCCTTGGTCTTATCTTTTAAGACTATGTCATTCTGCCCTACACTTTTCCATGACTGTCCACGTCTGTGTGTCCCTTCCCATCTTTACTCACCTTGTATACATCAAAGTTGTCTATGACGGCATCAAAGCAAGTGTACAGGTCGTTGAGCAGGGTCACCACCTGGAAAAGAAGAGAAGGGGTGGGGAGTAAAGGAACTCACCTGGGCTCTGGTGGAAAAAGCTGACCCAGAAGGCAGGTCTATGGGATGGAGATGCTAAGCCACACCCCTGGCTGCTCTGGCACTGTGGCTGTCCCTGACTTACCTGCATGGGCGTGCTCTCCGCTGACAGGGCTGTGAAACCCACAATGTCACTGAAGTAGATAGTAACGCTGTCAAAGGCTTCGGCCTGGACGGTCTCCCCGCGCTTCAGCTGCTCAGCCACTGAGCTGAGGGGTCAGGGACAGGTGCAGGATCAGAAGGTGAGGTAGGGCTGGGGCAGGGGCTGCGGGAGCACCGGACGCGGGCACTCACTGAGGCAGAATCTGGTAGAGCAGGGCCTCCGCCTTGCGCTTCTCCTCCAGGTAGGCCTGGGTCCGCTCCTCCACCAGCTCCTCCAGGTTGTTGGCGTACTGCTCCATGCGGGACAGCAGGTTGTCCAGGATGTTGCTGCTGCTCCCCCTGAGGGCGGCCACGTGGTAAGAGGAGCAGCGCACCCTGCCCTGAAGACACCCCCCCGCCCCGCACGGACCCACCCCCGACTTAGTGTCAGCCCACCCTGCGACTGATTGCTGTGGGGCCCCTGGGGAGGGTCAGGGTAGTGGGCACAGCACGATGGGAGTGGCGTGGGAAAAGGGTAGGAGGAAAGTTCAATTCATCCAAGACTCCAGGGTCAACTGTGACGTTTCAGACTTATTGGCTATTTTGTTCACCTTTGTTGAACACAAGTGGGTTAGAAGAAGGGGGAGGAGGCAGAAAGGGCCAGGGATCAATTGAGAACAGAGTGAGGGCACACAGGCTGGCAGAGGGGTGTGTCTGGAGAGACAGGGCCCCTACAGGGCACACCAGGAAAGGGAGATCAAAGCGTGCGATGGGAGCTCCTGTGGAAGGCAGAGAGGTGGAGGGAAGAGGCAGAGGCCATTTACTCTGCACGCCACTGAAGGCTGATGGCGTAGGGGCAGGTGAGTGGCGATGCCGGTCGGGGAGAGGGTTATGAGATGTAGGGGACTGCAGGGACAGCTGGGTCATACAGTGTTCACAAAGGGGGCTGTGAGTCTGTGCTGGAGTAGGCTGGGTGCCGGGGAACTGTGTGAGGGCTCTGCCACTGTAGGAATAAGACTTAAACGTGGGGTACGTGGCAGTTGTGGGTGGGTAGAGGCGGCTGGGAGGATGCAGGACTAACACCAGTGACCTATTAAATTTGCGCAGCATCAGGCGAATCTGTTGGAAGGGTGGCCGCTCCTGTGGGTCCTCGGCCCAGCACCGCTGCATCAGCTGCCCCAGTTCCTCCAGGTGACTCTGCAGGGCCAGGGAGGGCCGGAAGGGGGGCTGCTCGCCCCGAGTCACGCGCTCGATGATCTCTGTGTGGTGGGGGAGAGGGGCTGAGGGGTGGGGTCAGCCTAGGGCCTGCTGAGGGATGGGATGGGGTGGTCCAGGACTGGGACACAGGGCAGGGGAACCCTGTAGGGAACTGGACCAGAGTCACTGGCAGCAGTGGAGCAAAAGGTGGTGGCGTTTCCAGGGGCCCCTGTCTCTGGGGCAGGGGTTGGTTGAGTGTGATGGCACTAGGGGAGAGCATGGTCCTCTCACCTTTGGGACTGAGGTCCAAACCTTCCACATGGAAGACACCACTCCTCAGGGCAATCTCCTGAAGGATGATCCCAAAGCTGTACACGTCACCAGCCTGGGAGCCCCGGGCAGGGGGTGAGGCCATTCGCAGGAGCTCTGGGGCGGTCCACAACTTTTCTGTGGGTCAGAGGTCAGGAGTCACAGAGTGAAGGGCCCCAAAGCTAAGGGGTGAGGGGAAACAGGACCCTGGAGGATGTGTCTGGGACTGATCTGGAGACATCACACAGGATGCTGGAGCTGGAGGAGGCCTTGAACCTGCCGTCTGCCTCCCCTTTCTACTGATGACGAACTGAGCCTAGAGTCAGGAAAGGTGGGCTTGAGCCCATCAGAGGCCAGGCATCAGTCTCCCTATCAGGCTGTGCTGGGGGCAGTGTTAGGGGTCAGAGTCAGGGCGGGGCTCACTGGCATAAAGGGTGTGTCCTTGCTCTGGCTCCGGGTCCCTGAAGCTCTCCAGCCCGTAGTCAGTGATCTTGAGCACGAAGCGCCCATCTACCACGCAGTTGGATGACTTGAGGTTCCCATGGGAGCAAATGGCCCCATTGTGTAGGAACAGCATACCCTGGGAAATTTGGGGGGCAGGGGTCTCAGGCATGAGTGGGACCTCCAATCACGGCCAGGCTAGGGGAGAAGCCTGCCTGGCCCTTGCCCCCCACATCCATTGGGCTCTTTGGGGCCTACCTTGACGATGTCATTGGTGAGTGAGTACCGGAACATCCAGTCCAGGGTGATGCTCTCATTCTCCAGAATGTCCTGCTGGGCAGTGAGAGTCAGTCCTGTGCCCTGCAGATGCCCCCAGGAGGAGGAGTGCAGGGGTCCCATTGACATAAGCTGGCAGAAGGGGACAAAGCTTTGGGTTTACTCTAGTGCCACCACCCTCTTCCCTACTCCCATTTTACAGATGAGGAAAATTAAGGTCAGAAAGAGGAAGTGGCTTGTCAAGGGCCTTATGGCCAGTCAGGGGCAGACCTAGGGCTACACCCAGGTTTCTTGACACCCCTTTGTCCCCTCACCTGCAGGCTCCCACGGGGACAGTACTCTGTGAGGATACAGATGTTGGGGGGGTCAGTGCAGGCCCCCACAAACCTGGTCAGGTGTTCATTCTGCACATCCCGCATCTGCAGGTGAGAGCCAGCATCAGAGCCTGATAGAGACCTCAATCCTCATCAAGTTGCTCCCCACCCTCACGGGACCCCCTCACTCTTCTTAAGTCCCTATTCATTCTCTGCAGACATTCTAGAACATTCCCTGCTGATTCCCACTCATGTTCTAAAGAAACTTTCCCCTGGAATCTGCTCCCCACTCCCTCTGCTTCCTAAGCCCCCCACCTCCTATGATGTCTCCAGTATCTCTTTCTCCCCACTTGCTCCCACAACACGCAATGGCCCATCCCAGGGCTGCAGTGCCCACCCTTTCCTAGGACACCCTGTGGTCCCTCCATACCAGTTCTGTTGGCCAACCACCCCCGTGTCCCCAGATTCTCCCCCAGGCCACTGCCTTGCTCCCCGACATTACATGCTTCAGCTCAAACAGGACTTCCCGCGTCAGCTCAATGCGTTTACGGTTCACACGTTTCACAGCCACGAGGTTACCCTGGGCAAGGAATGAAGATGGTCACTGTGAGGAGATGGCCCAGCACTGGGAACTCCACCCCTCCTGACAGCCCACCCTGGCCCCTGTGACCCTCCTCAGTCCCCCATCAGAGCACTGCCCTGCCCCAGTCCTGAGGACCAGTGGTCTTTCCCCAGACCCACCTTATAATATGCTGTCTTGGCAAAGATTTGGAACTGGCCCTCTGTGGTCATCAGGGAGCCATAATTGGAGCCCCTCTGAAGGGAGGAAGTGCAGGAGGGATGGTCAGCCCATGGGCCTTTCAGATTTCTTTTCCATTAAAGGTTATTACAAGATATTGAATATAGTTCCCCATGCCATACAGTAGGTCCTTATTTATCTATTTCACATATAGTAGTGTGTATCTGTTAATCCCAAACTCCTAATTTATCCCTCCCCCTTTCCCCTTTGGTAACTATATGTGTGTTTTCTATATCTGTGAGTATATTATTCTCCTTTTTAAAAACGTATGTTCATATATGCTATCTCTGACCTTTGAAAGAGTCTTGTGAGGGAGGCTCATCGATGTAATTAACACCTGAAGTAGTCTTAGAGAGGGAGTGTGACTTGCCCAAGGTCACACAGCAAATGAAGGCAGAACTGGGGCTAGAATCCTGCTCTCTACCCTACCCATCAGGCACTGCGCCCACACTGTACCCAGCTCTGCCCGCTTACCCCCAGTCCTGCAGTTCTTACCCCACTCAGGGTCAGCCGGCTGCCGGCACTCCGGAGGTGCCTCTCAAGACTGCTGGGCTGCAGGTCCTCCCAGCGCACGCGCCACAGCTCTGAGGCCAGTTCCTTTTCCAGCTGCATCTTCCTGGGGCATGAAACCTGCATCTGAGCCCCAGTCTGAGCCCCTGACCCAAGGTGGGGGCGCTCAGCAGCCCCTCCTCAGCGCCCTGGGATCATGGCAGGTGCTAAGAGATGGATGAGGGAATTACACCCTCTCGCCTGAGAGTCAGGAGGCTTGGGTGAAATTCTGCCTCACTGGCGACCTTGGGGTAGTCATTTCACTTCTCTGAGTCTTATGTTCTGACACCCAAACATCCTCATTTGGAAATTATTTATTTCAAAGCATTGTTATAAGAATGAAAAGAAATGTCTTGTGGAGATGGCTGGCACACAGTAAATGCTTGACTAGCATTAATTTTCTTCCCTCCTGTCTTGCTTCCCTCTGTTAACTTTTCCTGCATTTTCCAGCTACCCACTGGAAGGCAGGAATGAAGCTTCCTTATCTCTCTCCTCCACTCTGGGTTCAAGGGTTCAGCACCCAGTACACAGGAGAGCCATCATCCCCTCTCAGTTAAAATCCAGTCCCACAGGTGCTGAACCACTGCTGCCCATCTGGTCTGCGTGAGCAGGAAGGGAGGATAAACCAGCCTCAGGCCACAATCCACACCCCTATGATGCCACTCCCCCAACTGCTCTGCCCCTTCTGGATCCCCCAGATCCTCCCTGTCGTCTCCTCCTTCTCTCTTCCTGGTGTCCTCTCTTCTCCCCCATCTTCCTCGGCCTTGCTGTGCTGTCCCTTCGCCCTGCTCTCTTCCATCTGGGCCCCTGCCACCTCCTCTGCTATTGGTTCTCCAGGTCTCCTAGCCTCAATCACCGACCGGCCTCAACCCCAGCTCACCTGTAGATGAAGAAGGAGATGATCAGAATGCTGAGCAGGGAGAGGCTGCCCACCAAAGCCAACACTTCCAGGGTGGAAAAGTGGTCTGCAGGGGAGAGTCCGAGTTACAGCAAGAGAGATTTTTGGTTAGACATTAAACGGCAGGATGGAGAACCTTCTAATAGTCAATCAGTGAACTCAGATGATGGATGAAGGGAAGAAAAAGGCAGAAATCTCTCCAGGAAACCCTCAGTGTGGGAAAGAAGCACCTATTTGATTCCCTAAGCAGGAAGAGTGTGATGTCTCCAGAATGGAGGCCCAAAAAAAGTGGCATTCACCTTGATTGCAGGCTGGGTCCTCGTTGTCAAAGCCACATTTGGGGACATCAGGAGGTGGGTATCCCAGGGGCCAGTGTAGTTTGCACCCTGACGTGGTCAGCAGCTCTTGGGAAGTCCCATTGAAGTTCAGAACAACCTGTCGGAGGGCAGGAGTGGTGGATGAGCAAGGGCCATTGGTGAGGCCTCTTGTTCAGTGGATCAGTCTTGCCTCCCACCTACTCCATCTCTACTGCCAGGGACTGTGTGTGGGTGTCAACTGTGCACCGAGCCCCTGCTGTGACTGGGTACAGAGAGCCTCACACTCATGCCCCAAGGGTGCCCCAGAGTAGACAAACTTGAAGATGACTCAAGGGCTTTCTAAAGAAAACTCAGGACAGAATCACAGCCTTACATTCAGGGAGTTTGTAATCTTGGATCGAAGCACATATAATACAGAAAAGGCACCGTTCTCAGTCCGCATTCCGAGGCCTAATCCATGTACTCCTCCTCCAGGAAGCCTTCCTGGATGATCTGCTCCCTGATGCCTGTGGCTTCAATCTCCTCCTGTTCCTAGATGCACTTATGGAGCTGTACAATGTGCATTTATCATGGCCCTGAGTCAGCCTGTCTCTGCTGAGGCGGATCCTGCCTACCTTCAGAAACACAAATCTTCCACAGGGCAGGGCTGTGCTCCCTCCTTAGACACAAGGTTCCCCAAGGGTAATGCCTATGAGTCCCTATCATCCTGGTTCCTCGCCCAGATTGGCCAGGGCTCTCTGTAAGTGACCAAGCATGGCAGGGTGACTACAGAGTACACAGATGCCCTGGCTGGGCTGCAGGACACATGGGAGGTGGAGATGTCATTACCAGTTGGCACTGTTTTCTGGGGGGGGGGGGGCACAGCCTTACCCTGAAGGCTCCAGTCTCGGGATCCATATCCCAGAGGGAGAAGTCGGTCTCCCGATCACCATTGCTGTCCATTTTCAGGTATCCTGTCACACCTGGGGGGTACGGAGGAACATAGCTGTGTTTTGAGAGAGTGAAGGTTCAGGAACCATGCACTTCATCTCCATCTTTTGATCTTCTCTGTCTTGCCCTCCATATACATACATGTATTTTATATATGTGTGTAACCCAGACAGGGGTTGTGCACTTAGGAGGAATTCTTTTTTGGGGGGAGGGGGGATAATTAGATTTATTTATTTAATGGAGGTACTGGGGATTGAACCCAGGACCTTACGCATGCTAAGCACAAGCCCTACCGCTGAACTATACCCCCATCGCCTAGGAGGACTTCTTGATGGAACTAGGGAGACAGGAAAGACGTCCAAAGGCAGCTGCAGAGGTTCCTTATAGAAGAGAGGAAGAGACTGGCGTGGGTGAGTGACTGCCTGCACTGCAGGGCTAGAGGCTTCTTAAGGCCTCCTGCCTGGGACACCCCCAAGGTGGCCCATTCCTGCCACCTCCAGGTCCTGACCTTGGAAACTTCGGTTCCACATCCGCTGAGTGATGCCCTCCCCATCGGTGACAGCTCCCCCATGTGCTAGAGTCTCTGTCACTGCCTGGACATACAGCAGGAGCCCATCGTGGAAGGATGCTGGGATGGTGTTCACCTGCAGGGGCAAGCAGAGCTGGGCTGGAGTGGGATGGATGAAGGGCACAGAGTGAGGCAATGTGGGGGAGGGGTGGGAGGCACTGGGAACGTGGAAGAGGGTGGGAGAAAACACCCTCACACGACAAAGAGATTTTACTACTTATAAGATGCCTCTGCATGTATCACTGCTTCTGAATCCGGATAGGCAGATAGGGCAGGACGTATCAGCGTCATTTTACTGATAAGGATGCGAGTTTCAGAAGTTGAACAACTTTCAGTGTCCCCCTCCATTATCAAGAGAGATACGGGAACAATGTGAAGGGAAAGAATGGGAGACCTGGGAATACAGGGATGGCTGGGCGAGCAGGGTGGAGACTGGCAGCGGGTGGTGAAGTAGGGGCTGGAGGTCTATGATGGAGGGTCCCAGGACCAGCTCCTACCAGGCCATCGTCCATGGTGAAGTTGAACTGCTCACGGGCCACGTGTTTTAGCTTCAGCAAGAATTCCAGGTACTCAGGATTATCTGGCTCTTTATATGTAATGATTTTGGCAGCCTGAGGAAGGGGATCGATGGAGAGGGGAGAGATGGGTGCTGACTCCAGTCCTCCCAGTACCCTGAGTGCCCACCTCCCGGAGCTGCATCTCGGCTTAGTTCAAGGTCTAATGGGACCCTATGTCCTTCATGAGGTGCTGCCTCCTTCAAAGCAGGGGATGCACTGGGATGGCTTCTCCAAGTCCTGATGGTCTGTGGGACTTGAATATCCTCCCACCTCAAGCACATCCATGCATGTTTTTAGCCTCCTGGCTCTGAAGTCCCCTGGCCCTCTGTACACACTCTCATCTTAGCCCCCTGCCCTTTGCCACCTGGCTCCCTATGAGCATCAAGAACCTCTTTTCTAGAACCATTTCAGACACTGAGGGACCCAGGACTCAGGACCCAGAAACAACATGCCACCAGCCCAGAGTCCCACAGCCTTGGCTTCCAACCTGGACACCCACCTGAAAGGCCTGGTGGGCACTGACATCCTGCCCATCCCCTCTCTCCCAGGGCCTGCGGGGAGCAAGGCCATGTCCACCTTGTAGGCTTTGCCCGAAGAGGTCCAGGTGGAAGAAAACATACTCCTCCCCACTCAAGCCAGCTTCCAGGGCCAGAAGCATCAGGGTTCTGAAGGTATCTGGGTAGCTGCAGATGTAGATAACTGGGGAGGAAGAGGGGTCAGAGAGAAGCGTAGGTTTCAGGGAGTGGGAAGCTGGAACAGACACGGGGTCACCCAGGGGAGGATGTTCAAAGACCCTGCTGTAGTTAAGCGGAACTCCTGGCTCAGGCTAGGCTTCGGCAGGAGAGAGATGGAGAAGGGAGGGAGAAGGAGGAAGGACAAAGGGGCACAGATAGGGAGAGCCGGAATTGTGGAGCTTAAAGTGGGAAAGGTGAGGTCAGGAGAGGGGAGAGCAGAGGACGGTCAGCTGGAGAGGGGACTGGAAGAGGGGAGGGAGCGACGTGGTGGTGTGGGAGCGAACGAGAAGGGAAGATGGAGGAGGGGAGAAGTGGCTGGTTGGGAAGAAATGGAAAATGGAGGAGAGGCAAAGGGATAGGA